TGCTCTTTCTGCATCTATCGAGATTATCATGTGGTTTTTGTCTTTTATTTATGTGATGTATTTATGTGATGTTTTGTCTTTTATTTATGTGATGTATCACTGATTTGCATATATTGAACCATCCCTGCATGCCTGGGATGAATCCCACTTGATCGTGGTGGATAATCTTTTTAATGTATTGCTGGATGCGGTTTGCCAATATTTTGTTGAGGATTTTAGCATCTATGTTCATCAGTGAAATTGGCCTGTAGTTTTCTTTCTTTGTAGGGTCTTTATCTAGTTTGGAGATCAGGGTGATGCTGGCCTCATGGAAAGAGTCTGGGAGTCTTCCCTCCTCTTGGATTTTTTGGAATTGTCTGAGAAGGGCAGGGGTTAGCTCTTCCTTAAATGTTTTGTAAAATTCTCTTGTGAAACCATCCGGCCCTGGGCTTTTGTGTGCCGGGAGTTTCTTGATGACTGCTTCAATTTCCCCAGCTGTTATCGGTCTGTTCAAGCTTTCTGTTTCTTCCTCCTTCAGTGTTGGAAGATTATACTGTTCTAAAAATTTGTCCATTTCATCAAGATTTTCAAATTTCTTGGCATATAATTGTTCATAGTAGTTTCTGACAACCCTTTGTATTTCTGTGGTATCAGTTGTTACTTCTCCTCTTTCGTTTCTGATATTAATTTGGGTCCTCTCCCTTTTATTCTTGATGAATCTGCTTAAAGGCTTGTCAATTTTATTTATCTTTTCAAAGAACCAGCTTCTGGATTGGTTGATCCTTTGAATTGTTCTTTTCGTCTCTGTGTCATTCAGTTCTGCTCTAATCTTGACTGTTTCCTTCCTTCTGCTTGCTCTGGGATTTATTTGTTGTTTCTCCAGTTCTTGAAGTTGTAGTGTTAGGTCTTTTATTTGAAATGTTTCTATCTTTTTTAGGTAAGCCTGTATTCCTATGAACTTCCCTCTCAGGACTGCCTTTGCTGTGTCCCATAGGTTTTGGACTGTTGTCTGTTCATTTTCATTTGTTTCCAGAAATATTTTGATTTCTTCTCTTATCTCATTATTGACCCATTCATTGTTTAATAGTCTACTGTTCAGTCTCCATGAGTTTCAAGTTCTTGAAGTTTTTCTTTGAGGTTGATTTCCAGTTTCAAGCCCTTGTGTTCGAGAAAAAGTTTGGTATTATTTCAGTTTTCCTGAATTTGCTGAGGTTTGCTTTGTGTCCTATCATGTGGTCTATCTTTGAAAAACTGCCATGAGCATTTGAAAAGAATGTGTATTTTTCTTCTTTGGGATGTAAGGTTCTATATATGTCAGTTAAGTCTCTTTGATTCAGTGTGTCATTCAGTGCCACAATATGTTTATTAATGTTTTGTTTGGAAGATCTGTCCATTTTTGACAGTGGGGTGTTGAAATCCCCTACTGTCAGTGTGCTGCTGTCTATATCTTTTTTGAAGTCATGCAACAATTTCCTCGTAAACTTGGGGGCTCCTATATTGGGAGCATATAAGTTTACAATGTTTATGTCTTCTTGATAGATTCTTCCTTTAAGTATTATAAAGTGCCCCTCTGGGTCTCTTTTTATGGCCTTTGTTTTGAAATCTACTCTGTGATACAAGTATGGCAACCCCGGCCTTTTTCTCTTGCCCATTTGCTTGGAATATTTTTTTCCATCCCTTTACTTTCAATCTGTGTAGGTCTCTAGCTCTGAGGTGGGTCTCTTGTAGGCAGCATATGTGTGGGTCATGTGTTCTTATCCATTCAGCTACCCTGTGTGTTTTGATTGGGGCATTTAGTCCATTCACATTGAGAGATATTACTGATAGAAACTTACTCATCTTTTCTCTTTGTACCTGTGTTTCTCTCTCTCTCATTCTTTTCCTTCATCTTCTTAAACCAGTCCCCTTAGCATATCTTGGAGTTCTGGTTTGGTAGAGATGTATTCTTTTAGCCTTCTCTTGTCTGGGAAACTCCGTATTTCCCCTTCTATTTTAATCGAGAGCCTTGCTGGGTAGAGCAGCCTTGGCCGTACATTTCATGGCTGTACGTTTCAAAGCCTTTGCGTTTCATGGCTTGGAATATTTGTTGCCATTCCCTTCTGGCTTGTAGTGTTTCTGTTGAGAAGTCAGCTCCTAGGCGTATCGGGGGGCCCCATTGTATGTTACTTTCTCCTTCTCCCTTGCTGCCTTGAGGATTCTCTCTTTGTCTTTGATAGTTGCCATTTTAATGATGATGTGTCTTGGAGTGGACCTCTGTGAGTCCCTCTTGAGTGGGGTCCTCTGTGCCTCCTGGATCCATGAGAGCCTTTCTCTCCTCAAATTAGGGAAATTTTCCATCATTACTTTTTCGAGGAGGTTCTCTATCCCTTGCTCCTCTTCTTCTCCTTCTGATATCCCTATTATACGGATAGTATTGCGTTTCAGGTTGTCCTGCATTTCCCTAAATGCCTTTTCATTCTTTTTTAGTCTTTTTTCCATTTCTTGTTCTTTCTGAGAGCTTTTTTCTACCTTATCCTCCATCTCACTGATTCGATCCTCGGCTTCATCCAGCCTGCTTTGGATTCCTTCTACTGTGTTCTTCAATTCAGAAATGGTATTCTTCATATCCTCTTGTGTCTTCTTGATAGTTTCTATGTCCTTTTCCAGGTTGATATAGTTTGTTGTAAGATCCTGATAATTTCTCTGCAGTTTCTCATAGTAATCTTTGAGCTGGCTGAGCTCATTGAGCTTCCTTAGAACCATTGTTTTGAATTCAATATCTGATAGTTCCCTTGCGTCTATTTAGCTCTCTCTGTGGGGAGTCCCCTTTCCCACTCACTTGGGGGGAACTTCTTTTTCTTCCCATTTTTGTGAGAGTCTGTTAAGTAATTTACTTACTTACTTACTTATTTATTTTTGCTTCTGCTTCAATTGGGCTGTCTAGATTTCCTGACTTTGTGGATTAAACTTCTATGGTAGTAGGTGGGTTTGTTTGTTTGTTTGTTTATTTTTCCCTTCGCTTTTCTTTCTGGGCCTGCCTCTGATGATGTCAGTTGTTGACCCTATATGACCTTGGGTTGGTTGGTTGAGCCTTCCAGGAGTCTACTGTCTGTGTCTGACTCCTGCTTGGGGCAGCTCTGTGACCCCTTCAGTCAGGGCTGGACTATTTTTTGGGATCTCTCTGCACTCTCACGCCGGCTCCTTGAGCATGCTGAACCTGTGATTTTCACCAGTTCATTTGTTCAACACACATGAGAACTAACACGTGCTGAAAATACAGAGAAAAAACTTAATTCTTGCCCTCAGGAATTCCCGGTATTGTTGGGGAATTCTGGGATTGTCTGCAATCCTAGATTTACATAGTACAATGTTGTGGGTGTTGCTATTTTACAGCTATGCACAAATTTCTTTCTCAGCGAAGTAATATGGCTAAAAATTTGGATCTGATTTTTTGTTTCCAGAAAAGGCTTCCAAGAAAACTGATACTGATTAGTGGAAATAAGTAGGAATTAATCCACAAGGTGAAAAGGGGCGGGGGCTTTAGATACAGGAAAAGTATGGGCAAATGTATTGAGTAGGAGTTTCATACTTCCAGGTGCTATAGGAATTCATTATAGCTGAAAAGCAGAATGAGATTGGAGAATTAGAGGTACGACTGCCAGTGACCATTTAAGCCACTGAGTCAGGAAAAGGTTTGAGAGATGTTTAAGAGAGAGAATTATCAAAGCTTGTTAACTAATTGGTTGTAAGAATGGTGAAAAGTATAGAGCATAGAATGACTGACCTGGGCAACTTCACGGTCAGGGAAAATGGTACCATTCTAACAAAAATACTGAATATTTTGAGAAGGAATAGATTTAAAGAGGAAAGGTAAGTTTCACTGTTGGAGATTTGAATTTGTTATGCCTTAGGCAACACCAAAATGAGACATCAGGCAGGCTGTTGGCTTTGAAAGCTTGGCATTCAAGAAAAAGACTTGGGAGTTTTCAGTAAATCGGTATTTGAAGCCATGGAAAGTGTAGTCTATGAAGTATGTAAAGCAGAGAAAGAACCAAAAGTAGAAATGGGAAACAATAACATGTAATATGCATAGAAGAGGAAGGAGAAGGAGGAAAAACCCCATGGAAGGGGAAGCTGGAGGAAAACAGTTTTGAATGCCCTTGCATTTAGTGATTTTGGGCAAGTTTAGTCAAATGGTAGGATCAAAACCCAGACTAGAGTAACAATTTAGAAATGGTGGGATGTGGGGAGAACAGTTACAATCTAGGGCTTGAATACACTGAAGAATTACCATTGAAATTAAGTCCCTGTGAAAATGATGGAAGGTAGAATTCTCAACACAGGTAGTGGGATTGAGCTTAGACAGATGAAGGTATGCCACATTGACTAAGACATAAAAGAATAGGTGAGGAAAGAGGACTAATATTTTTGAAAGCCTGCTTTTGCCAGTCATTCTGATTGATTACATAAGTCATTTCATTTTTCCTGCAATCTGTTTTATGTAGAAAGTATTGCTCTTTGCTTTATTACTGTGAAAGTTAATCTTAGGGAAGTTATCTTGCCCAGTGTCACACATCTTGTAAGTGATGGGGCTAGTACCTAAACCCTTAAGTTTTATTTCTGATGTGCTCCTGTTCTCCCCTACTCTGTCCCCTTCCACATCCATCCCCTGCTATCTGAGAATAAAGATAAGTCTGTAGGGTGTGGTAGAGACCTAGAAGTTAATGTTTTTTAAATATAATGGAAATTTGTTTTTCTCCTAAGTAAATTTCCTCTTTAAAAACTATTGACTGCTTAGTAAAAGATATTATGTGGCACATACATATCTAAAGAAATAATACATCTTTTTAATCCATATTTTAACTAAGCTGAAAGGTGACACATTATTAAGAAAAAAAATTGGGGAGGGGGGAGTCAAAGATTTGTATAAGGTTATAGAGTAACTTATCTCCAGTGTGTTAGATTTTGACACACTGGTTTCTCCCTTTTGGAAGCTTTATAATATAAATATGGAATTAAGTTTTATTTCTTTTTTAATTCAGGTGTCTGCCTTCGGGGTGGAGTTTTCATCAGAGGCTTGCAGAGAGTTAGGCTTCTCCAGCAACTTGCTCTGCAGCTCCTGTGATCTTCTTGGACAGTTCAACCTGCTCCAGTTGGATCCCGACTGTAGAGGATGCTGTCAGGAAGAAGCACAATTTGAAACCAAAAAGGTGTTGTTTTCTAGTATCTCTCTTTCATTAGATGTTTTGGTTGAGATGAGGTGAAATACTAAATTGCTTAAACAGCTTAGATATAATGAAGTCTTCAGCTTTTACATTATGTAGTTTTAGAAACTCAAAATGATTTCTTGCCTGATCCATTAGATCAAAGCAAATAGGGAGGAAAAGTCTGGTTGCATGCCAGGACCCCATGCCTGCCGTGTTTGTCCAGCAGAGAGGGAGCAGAATTACTACTAGCATGCTTGGAATAAAGCTCCCCAGTCTTTCTCAATTATAGCCACATGAAGTCAAAGAATAATTAGATGCTTTTATTCATTTGTAATAACCCAGTTTTATAATAAACTTTGGGATGAAAATAAAGCACCCATTACCTGGCACAAAATTGTAGACAATAAATTATAACTTTTAATCTGGTTGACAAAGAATATGGTCTGTTAATTTATACACATTACTCATATTTCCAGGCACCTAACTGCACCTTTAACACATAAAGACAGCCAAAGGTAGTTCTAACTATTCAATAAAATCTGCTGTTTTGACCCACTGTTGAAGTTAATAGTAAACATTCTTAATTTTTTGCTGTTATTGGCCAATTTATTTAAAATATCCTAAATATGAAAATAAATCAAGTATTGTTTCTATTTTTCAAATGTCAAAGTCTTTGCTATAGAAAACAGAAGGAACCATTTATAAACTAAGCATTACAATTAAGCTACATCAAGTTTAATAACTGCATACCACTTTCTTTTGTGATTGTGCTTTAGTGCTTTACTAATTTCCAGACTACTTGGAAATGTACAGGTTCACAGTAAGAATGTATGCATACTGCCCTGGCTGGTGTGACTCGGTGGACTGAGTGCCAGCCTGCGAACCAAAGGGTCACTGGTTTGAGTCCCAGTCAGGGAACATGCCTAGGTTGCAGGCCAGGTCCCAGTAAGGGACACCTCAAGGGACAACCTCACATTGATGGAGAGAAGGAGGAGGGGAAGGAGGGGAAGGGAGGGAGGATACAACCTATATATACATTTTACATAGAAATGATTCTTTTTAAATACTCATATAGAGAACCTAACGTGGTGGTATTGTGCCGTAAAAGCCATAGAGCCAGATGTGTCACTATGCAGAAACAGATGTAGGTATATAAGCATTATCCGGCACTCAAATTAGTACTCCATTTATCCAAGATGACATCTTCATAGGGGATGCCCAGTTTAATGTTTCTAGATAAGACATTAATTCTTAATCTATACTAAATCATTAGTTCTACAGCCTTATTCATTGAAAAAATATAGTGAACTTAAAATATTTCTCAATATATTAATAAACTTTCCTTAATTTTTAAATCTTTTTATTGAATCTCTTAGACTTCTTTAAATTGTAAAGTAGCCTGAAAAGATCATTATTATTCACATAAAACTGAATTAGTAAGATCTCTGTATTTTGGGGTGAGGAAAAAATGATAATATCTCTGTTACATTTCCTTTTAATATTCTTTCACTTGTACATACTGAGGTGTTAACATACATTTGAGGTGTTATGGTTTATAAGCTTTCAGACAATAATTATATCTTCTCATTATTAGATAATAAAAGTTTATTTCTAACACTGAGTACAGCTTTATAATTCTAAAAGAAAAACAGGCTTTTAAAAATGTTAGTATTCGACCATAATTTAATCCCTGATTTCTTGGTTGTGAACCTGAAATTTTCAAGTCTTCCATGTTTTTCATTTTCTTGGTTTACATATACCAATAATATAGTTTAATGTTTAGAATATTCCTGTACATGTGTTAGTCTTTTTGCCTATAAATGAAATCTAAACAAGTTTACATAAGATTTACCTACTTTAGTAGGACCCTTCCCATCTCCCTTTTTTGTTGTTGTTGTTTTTATTTGTTTCTTTGTTTTGGATGAGTCATCCTCTCATCTTTAAAGTATTATTCTGTGGTCTTCCATGGTTTGTACACTACTTAACTAAAAGTTATTATTTCCTGAGACACAGAACTTCAAGGATTGAATAACAAGGGTTGTTTTATAATAAACAATCTTTATCACACATACTCTCTTGTAATTAAGAATCAATGGAGAGGTTCTACCCTTTATTGAAATCAAATGTGCTTAAAGTGTAAACTAAGTGTATATAGAAGCTATTTTTACTTACTGTCCTTTCCCAGTAGTTCTTCCTAATACATCAGTTTTATGGTATAATTTTAGTGGAACCAAACTTGGATCACACAGTTTTCAAATAATTATATTCCTGTTCAATTTTCATTATCAGACGAACTGTGTTTGATATCTGACACCTTGCAGCAGTTACAGCACAGCAGGACCAGTAGACAAGTAGTCTGCCAATAAATATATGCCGAACTAATTACAAGCTGAAATTATTATTACATCTAAGTACAAGTGAGCCTGTATCCTAATACACTTTTTGTGTTCAATCCATTGTTTTTTTCTTTACTCCCAGCCACTAATCTCTAAATGCTGACTTCTCATTAAGCATTTGTTAGCACACTGTTTCACAAAATTGATCAGTGGTTTTCCTTAATAAGCCTGGTGGAACCAAACAGCAAAAACACTTAGAATATTACTGGAAATTTAAAAGTATGGCATGTTGGACAAACCTCTACTTAGATGAAGACCACATTTAAGTGTAGAATGTGCAGGTACTGCTGTGTGGGTCACCGGTATATGATCATACACCAGTATATGCTAACAGTATATACAATATGCTTTTCTTTCTCACTCAACTTTGGTTTAAGGCTTAATTTTGAAATCATAGTTTAATATAGTTCTAGTTTAATAAAAAGTAAAGATCTGCAGTGTATAGTATATTACATCAAAAACATTAAAAATACATAAATATGGCCTTGTGTGTATAAATCATTGTGAATATAAATTCTTTAGAAGAAGCAATTGCAGTTTACATACAGGAATGTTTTAACAATTTATGTACAATAAAGATTTGTTATCAGAAAACTCATTTTGGTTCTTACTTACTTGCATGCTTTATAGGCCTGTCTAGGGATGAGGCTAATCGTTTTTAGGCATACTTACCCATTTAACAGGCTGAATTAACTTTGATAGCCAGAAGCATAAAATTTGCTTTAAAAAAAAACCAAACTTATTCACAATAAAAACAGAAAATGTATTTGAAATTCCTTATAATTCTTCAAATAGATATTTTATTATTATTTTTATTTGGTCTTGTTTTTCCCCCCATTTTGATCATGAAGAACCTACTAAGCATCACAATATTAGCTAGATTGAGATTTAACTAGTTTTGCTCATAGCTATGTACCTAAGTACAGCTTACAAACATTTAGGATCTTGACTTAATTGGGAAGAGTTTATTTGTAGTTTGAAGAAAAAACATAAACTAATGAGAAAAAAATATTTAAATCTTGGTGTTATTTTTATACAGTTAGTATTACTCGGTAGCATAAATGACTTCAGCTTTAAATATTAGAATCTTATGGTGGAAGAAAAGGGATTATTTTTTTTTCACCTACTGACTCAGTTTTCCCTTGAGGTAGGAAAATTTAGTAACGAATTATTAGCTAGGATTATGGAACAATATAGGAACCATTAGCTGCTAGAGTAGCTATGTGGAATGTTGCATCGGAGAGCAGGCAGAGATGAAGCAATTCTCAGGTAAAGAGAAGGTTAGGTACTAGGTAAGCAATCTCATGGATATGTTATGTTTTTCTCCTTAATTACTAGAGTAAACCATTTCTACTTGACCTGTTTTTAAAGATTTAGCTCGAGTGTCTTCTCTTCTAGGAAGTCTTACCTAATTCCCTCCCTGCACTTACTCACCATCACTACCACTCCCAAGTTAGGTTAGCTGCACCTCTCTGTTCCCAAAGAAATTAAAGACACCTTAATCTGCATTTACCTCCACTATATTGTGCCTGCTGTTTTATTTCTTTATTTCTTTTTCAAAGAATAAGCCATGATATTCTTTGAAACCAAAAATAACATTATAACCGAAAGTAAACTGTATGTTTGCAATATAAAAATAATCACTGTGAAAAAAAGCAAGTTATTAAACAAATCACAAATTATAATTTTCCTACTAACATTTATCAGCTCCTTATATTTTTAATCTAATACTGGATAACAGGTTTAAAGGTTTAAGAAAATTTTGAGAGAGAAAAACTTAAAGTGATTAAAAAAAAAACTCTATGGATTGAGAAGAGATTTCCTTTATTTGAAATTTGGAGCATCCTGGCCCCATTCATAGAATACTAGTAGAAGCCTAGGCTGCAGATCACCAAATTACTGGTTCTGGAAATAGCTCAATAAATAGTTCAGGTATTTAATTTAGGGTTGCTTTTTTCCCTCTTAAAAATCGACTTTCTAGATGATACTAAAACAAAAGTATTTATCCTCAATAATTGTTATAATTCACTGGATTTGAATAAATGGACTGAAGTACATAGTTCATAAAATAATTTTAAGAATACAGTTAGATCCCCTCCACTCCTCACTCCCATTACCTTCTTGGAGTTAGGCTAATGTTAATTGGCTCGCTTTATGTAATGGCATTCCCGTTTTCTATGTGTATAATATTCTGCCTTCACATTTACCTGCACTTCAAGCCAGAGAGAGTACAGAGGTAATCGTAACATGTATAGTTCAATGGAAGTTTTTCCCTTTCTCTCCTTTTATAAGAGCTTTTGAAAGAGTTGAATTGTCATCTCAGCTTCATTGCTTACTAGCTTTGTGATTTCTAGCCAGCAAATTCCAAGATTTTTAGTTTTATTGTAATAATTACATCACCTCACCTCGGAGTGTTTCTTTTACCTTGGTTATGTGTTGAAGCATTTTATCTATGTTATCTATTTAATCCTCACAATAACTCTATAATGTAAGTACAGTATAATTCCTATTTAAGAGAAGAGGAAACTAGGATGTAATCTGCCCACAGTTACCCAGCAATTGGGTACCACAACTTGGCTTCATCTAGCATCTGTTTGACTCCAGAGA